TCCAAGGGATGACCCCCATCTCCTGCCAGAGCAGGACAGCTGTCTAGAGGCCTGGATCCTCCTTAAACAGATTCTCACACTGTTGCCATGTTTGTATCCCCAAATGTTAAAGGGACTCACTGGAGAGTTCAATGACACTAAGCTGGTCTCGTGCATTGTGTCTCCTGTATATGCCATGTCTAGTACACGTAACCATTCGGGGAGACTGTCCCGGTGTTTTCTGAGATGAGAGGGTCACCAGAAGTAGGAGCAGCTATGATGTCAGCACACTGTTCTTAAAGTAGGGGCCGTGCAGTTAACTAGTCCTTGTCACCTTGGGTCACTAGTAATGTCATTAGTTAGTAGCTTTGTGGCTCTTAAAAAAAAAGATACAGGTAATAGAATTTAAGCTGAAATCAAATTTTGGGATAAGGTCTCACTCTGGTCCCCTGCCAGTTTGCCGCTGCACAGCACCTAGAATTCAGGACCCCTTGAACTTGAGGCCCTGCTGGATGACACGTCCTCCCCACCAGGCTTCCCTGGCTCAGTTCCAGCTCAGAGTCCAGGGCTCTCCCCAGAGTCCCAGCTTCCCTGAACATAACCTGAGCTGACGTGTGGTGCATTACAGCTACCTGACTTACATCAAGCTGTCAACAGCGATCAAGCGGAATGAGAACATGGCTAAAGGGCTGCAGAGGGCCCTGCTGCAGCAGCCGCCGGAAGACGACAGCAAGCGCCCCCCCCGGCCCCAGGACCTGATCCGACTCTACGACATCATTCTACAGGTGACCCTGGAGGAAGGGCGGTAACAGCCAGGACTGTGCTGTTAGCTTGGTACCTGCTGAGCTGTCTGAGCCCCGATCCATGGGGTTGTGGGGAGAGCAGACTTGCAGGTATTTGCTGCACGTGCGCCTGTGTCAGGTTCTCTTCTTGATGCTCTGAAGCGTCCTGAGACCTGTGCTCACAGTCTGGCCTCGGGGAGTTTGTCAGTGAGATAGTGTGGCATCCACACAAGCAAGGCACCTCTGTAAATGCCAAGTGAGCAAGCCACTCGGAAATCCAGGAGCCAGAGAGACCTGCTCTGGTTGACAGGATCCAAGAAGGAGGAGGAGTGGTGTGAGCTGAGTTTTATAGGATCAGAGGGGGAGGGAGGGGATGCCAGGTGTGGCTGCTGCCGTCTCAGGCCTTCAAGGCCTTGTTCCCGTTACTTTAAGCCCTGGCTTGTGCTTTTTCCCCATCTGTTCTTGTAAGGTCTTCTGTCGGAAGCTCAGTTTGAGGCCTTATCTTCATGAATTTTTTGTTGTGTCTGTTGTACAGAATCTGGTGGAATTGCTCCAGCTTCCTGGCCTAGAGGAGGACAGAGCCTTCCAGAAAGAAATAGGCCTCAAGACCCTGGTGTACAAGGCGTACAGGTGCCATGCTGTGGAAGGGCAGCCCTCTGGCGCCCAGTGGTTCTGTGACCATTGGGAGCGTGTCTTGTTCCTGGGACCCTGGATCATCAACCCTTAACTATACACTTAAGTTGTCCAGGATCTGAAAGCAGGCAGCCTGGCCACGGGAGAGTGTGGCTGGTGATTTCCAGTGTCATTGAACATGGGGAGTCGGCATGCACACCAAGCTGGTCTCTCCTTCCTTCCTCCTAGTGGAGAGTCAGCAGCAGACCCAGAGGGGCTGATTCAGGGACTGAACTGAATCGAGGCTAACCTAGGCTTGTTCAGTGAATCACATGGTTTGTGACTTGGAAGTGGGCAGTGTGGTGAGATGGGGATCTAGGCAGCGTGGCAGAGGACAGCGGCCCTCTGCTGGCTCGTGTACCCAGTGCTCTCTGGCTGTCAGGGAGCCTCCGTCCTGCTGGTGTTGCCCCATCCTCTCCCGGTTCCCATGGGCCCGTCTGTCCTGGGAGGGGCCAGCAGCACTGTGGCACTGTTGACCCGGGGGCAGTCCCATTAGGAAGGGGCATCTTTGGTTTTCAGAAAAGAGCGGAGGTGGGTATGGTGACAAGGCTGGGGGGGGCGGTGGAGGGTGGGACTTACACTCAAGCCAAGCAGCCTTCTCCTTCTTCCCGTCCCTGCTGTTTGCTGTGCTCTTTCTGGAAGCTACCTTTTGCCCAGAGTCTTGTAAGTAACAGACAGGTGTTGCGGTGGATATGCACTGTCACCTGTGATGGCTCGGGCAGACTCACAGGCTGGCCTAGCAAGCCTGCATGCTGAGAACACAAGGGCTCGCCCACGCAGAAGCCCGAGGTTCAGAAACCCGTTTCTGCATTTAGCCTCGATGGCAGTGAACATCCTGACCTGGAGCTGTGGGTCTTCCCCCTCAGGTGCTTCTTCATCGCTCAGTCCTACGTGCTGGTGAAGAAGTGGAGTGAAGCCCTGGTCCTGTACGACAGGGTCCTGAAATACGCCAGCGAAGTCAGCTCCGATGCAGGCGCCTTCAGGAACAGCCTGAAGGTGAGACTGCCCCCTTCTCGCATCAAGCTGCACAGAGGCTCTGGAGCCGTGAGGGTAGAGCCACTCAGTGGCTCCCACGCGACATTGTCCGTCCTCACTGGGAGCTAGCGAGAAATGCAGGCTCTCAGGCCCCACCCCGGACCTGCTGCGTTTTAACCGGATCCCCAGGGCACTTAGTCAGTCATTTATCAGACACCGGCTAGTTTTTCAAGCTTGTGGACTGTTGACATGATGTGGAGATTATTAAAAAAAAAAAAAAAAAAAGTCTCTTGCAAGGGATTGAATGCATTATATTTTACAAGTAGAGACTGTATTAGTGTAGTCACAGGCAGCAGGAGTGGCACTAGGCCCCAGGGGTAAACCCGGCTCTGCCTTCAGGGAGCTTGTGGGTTTGTTGCAGTGGGGAGACTTGTCTGTGGGACCCCATGCCCGAATACAAAACAAGTATCATGGACCAGGAGCAAAGCCAGGAAGATAGGAGTCAATGGATGGGGGCAGTGGGGAGTCCTGAGCATCAGCATCGTTGCGACTCAACCGCACTGCTGCTGGTTCCAGCTCACTGCAGCCCTGAGGACCGCATGGAGCAGACTGCCACATCGTTCTCCTAAAGAGCAGCTGGGGGCTTTGAACCACCAGCCTTTGGCTTAGCAGCCCAGTGTTTAACTGCTGCACCACGAGGGCTCCTTAGCATCCTCACAGTGGGGTGGAATTTTGGGACGTGATGCCAAACAAGTGTGGCTCATTCATCTCAAGAAAGAAGAAAAAGGTGTTTTACAGATACCCATCTAAGCTCGTGTCAGTGAATGTAGGCACAGATTTTGTAGCAGCTAGACCACTCCTCGGAAGGAAGATGGGGCAGTCTACTTCCATAGTGATACTGCCTCAGAAACCCAAAGAGGGGTCACTATGAGTTGGGTCGGACTCGATGGCACATAACAACAACAAACAAAAGACCTCATCAGGTCGTTGCAGTGGTTGCTGAGTGAAAGGCTGAGGCTGAGGACTGTCTTTGTGCTGGTAGAAGTCACAGTGATGAAGCGCTTAGACCCTTGAGCCGGGACGGCCGGGATCTGAGCCCTAGCTCTGCTGTCCTGGGAGTGTGACTGCAAGGCCCTTCACCTCTTGGGGCTTCACTTTTCTCCTGTCAAAGGGGAGTACGAACAACTCTGTGGGTGTTGTGAGGATTGAAGTAGTAATTATGTAAGCTGCTTAGAACAGTGCCTGACACCTAGTAAACATTTAGTAATGATCAGTTTGTTCGTTAGTACTTACAAATTTATTCTTAATATTTCTTCATTACAAAGTCATCCTTATTCAGACTTATTTCCAGGCATTATTCCATCAGCCTTTCCCATTTGAAGCAGCCTGGTTTTTTGTTTTCTAATAGAAAGAATGGTTTAAAAACTCTTAAAATCTTATGATGGTGCCAAAGAGCTCTCTTAACTAACCCTGGTTTGTGCTGTGCTTCAAGCCCGGCCCGGCCTGAAGTTGCGGATTTTCCGAATTGTTTCAGGACCTGCCGGATGTGCGAGAGCTCATCACTCAAGTGAGGTCAGAAAAGTGCTCTCTGCAGGCGGCGGCGATCCTGGGTAAGCCTCACTTGTTCTTAGGCCTGTACCCCGCGGCCCCTTCCCTGCTGCTGCTCTTCTCTCCCCCACCCTGCGCTGCGACTTGAAGACGGATGGAGGTTGTTGGGCCCATCTTTGTACGTTGGTCTTGTCTCCTGCGCCTTGGGTGAACGTGTTTATTTCTTCTGACAGTGTTTTAGTGGATTCCTTAGGGTTTTCCTCAAGACAGGATCGTGTCATGTGTCTTTTTCTTGCCCTGGCTAGAACCTTCAGTACTGTGTGGACTAGAAGTGGCAGGGACAGCCAGCCATAGGTTGTTCCTGATCTTAACTTTAAGATCATCATTTCTCCCTGCCTTTGCTTCTTCCGGGGAGCTCTGGTGGTGCAGTGCCTGAGACATTTAACTGCTAACTGGAAGGTTGGTGGTTTCAAACCCCCCAGCCTCTCTGTGGAAGGAAGATGGGGCATCTACTTTCATAAAGATTGGTTGTTGTTGTTGTTATGTGCCGTCAAGTCGGACCTGACTCCTGGCAACTGCTCTTTGGGTTTCCGAGGCGGTAGTAATCTACGGAAGTAGATTGCCCAACCTTCCTTCCAGGGAGTGGCTGGTGGGTTTGAACCGCCAGCCTTCTGGTTACCAGTCAAATGCCTTAGGCACTATGCCACCAGAGCTCCTTCGTGAAGATTTACCACTTCAGAAACCCAATGAGGGTCGCTGGGAGTCATAATTGACTAGTGGCAGTGAGTTTGGTTTTTGGTTTGGGTTACTTCTGGCAGTGAGTTTGGTTTCTGGTTTGGGTTCTTTCTGCCACATTAGCATTAAATTGAATGATGTGGGATTTAGAGAAACACTGTCCCTTCCTAATACTATTTCCTGGACAACTGCTAGTTCCAGTGGACGGCAGCACTGCTTCAGGGATTTACTGTCTCTTCTCTGCACCACTTTGAGCAGAATCAGGACCCAGAAGGGAGAGGGCTAACTTCCCCTGTGTTTGCTGCCTTTGTTCTTGGGATTTAGAGCCCTGAGTTGTCACCAGACCCGAGAGAGGCCTCATTTGTGACTGTAGGGTGTTAAGTCCCTGTTCTCACAGAATCCTTGTGAAACTTTCAGATACAAACGACTCCCACCAAACAGAGACGTCCTCCCAAGTCAAGGACAATAAGGTGAGTCTGGGCTGTGGCGTTTGGGGAATGAAGAGGATTCACACACTAGGGATAGACTCATCTGTAGAGCAGAGGAGCCTTAGTTTCTAGGGATACACCTGGCCTTCTTCCATTCTCTTGAAGTTCTGAAAACTACCCGTCTAAAGTTAGTTAGGTGTCTAGATTACCCCAGAATAGGAAGGCTGGGAACTCTGTTGCTGTGCAGAGTGGAAGCCCCAGTTAGGAGCTCTAACTTGAGCGTCCAGCAGACCTGGACCCCAATCCCTGCCTCCTCACCTTGTAACCTGTGTCAGTGACTCTGAGCTGGGAAATCCCCATGTGGCGTGATGGCACCTCCTCACGGGGGTTGGGTGAGAAGATGCATGAGAAGCACTGGACGGGGCCCGGCACACAGTGCACGGATGGTCTTCAGTGCTTGACACCCTGCTTCTCTCTGATTTGCCTTCCAGCCTCTGGTTGAACGGTTTGAGACATTCTGCCTGGACCCTTCCCTCGTCACCAAGCAAGCCAGCCTTGTGCACTTCCCGCCAGGATTCCGGCCTGTCCCTTGCAAGCCTTTGTTTTTTGACCTGGCTCTCAACCACGTGGCGTTCCCACCGCTCGAGGACAAGTTGGAGCAGAAGGCCAAGAGCGGCCTCACCGGCTACATTAAGGGCATCTTTGGATTCAGGAGCTAGCCAGGCTTTTCCTTGGGGGTGGGGGGAGAGCCTGACTCTGAATCTGTGCTGTGGGAACATCCCAGCAGGTTCCATGCTATTAAATCCAGGTGGGTATTGGCCCAGGGTGGGAGCTTGACGTCTGCCGCCCTTCGTTCCTACATCTCGTGTGTTTGTGCACTTAACACCCTTCACCCTGTGTAGGCGGGCACCCTCCTCTTCTGGTAGATGTGTGCAGGTTCACTTGTCTCCTGCACCTCCAGGGTCAGGTGACTGCCGCCTGGCCCCATGTGAGCCGTGATTCCCTTTGGTCAGTACTGCATTCAGGGGGCATCCACCATCACAGATGGGGCCCGGAGCTGTGGTGGGCTTCCTCATTCCCGCCGATTTGACGTTGACTCGGCCTTGCTGGGGGGCAGCTGGTGACCGTCAGAACCCTGAGAACTTTGTCTGTAGCCGTGAGCGTTGGCCCACCTCCAGAATTACAGTCAGCCCCCCCTTACCTCCAAGCAAATAACAAGAAGAGAGCGCTATTCTGAGAGCTGTGTCGCACTCAGTGAGAGCCGTGTCTCACTCAGAGGTGATTAAACCAAATCTCACGTTAAACAGCAAAGATCCTGGAGACTGCCCGGTTTACATGGCCTCACCGTGTGTCCAGCCACAGCTCGCTCGCTCCTGGGTGCCTTGTACGACCCTGTGAGGTCAGACTTGTCCAGACTTCTGGCCGTCGGGTTGTCACCGAGGCCACGGAGATGTGTTGGAGGCACTGTTTCCAGAGAGTCCCCAGTCTAACTCTCAGATGCCATTATGTTTTAAGCAGTTTCCTTCCTTTTTTTTTTTCCCCCTTAGTCATCCTTATTTCTTTTATATCATCAATAATGGAAGTGACAAAAGCAGGGAATAAAAGTGATTTGAACGTACGTGAAACCTCTGAATCCCTCAGAAGACCAAAACCCATATGGGACATGTCCGTGTAGACGTGGTTCTGGGATATGTCGACAGAGAAGGTGGTTGGTTTCGGGACATGTCAACGGAGATGTTCCCATATCAAGCAGCCTTGAGTGTCTGGAAAGAGTTGGTTGGATGGCTAACAATCTGTGGATGTTACTCCAAAATGGAATCCAGTGTGGCCAAGACAGTACCTCTTGTTTCCCGAGTGAATTGCAGAGAGGAGTTGCCAGAGTTAGGAAAGGGCGGTGGGAGTACAAACTCAACTTCACCCCGATTGCACGTGGTCAGGGTCTGCCCCCCGAGGTCGATGTCACCCCGATTGCACGTGGTCAGGGTCTGCCCCCCGAGGTCGATGTCACCCCGATTGCACGTGGTCAGGGTCTGCTATCCCAGGTCGACGTCACCCCGATTGCACGTGGTCGGGGTCTGCCCCCCCAGGTCGACGTCACCCCGATTGCACGTGGTCAGGGTCTGTTCTCCCAGGATTCATCTCTAATCAGAGCCTCAGGAGGTTGATGGTGGGTTTTGATTGAAGAAAATCTATGCCGTCCACTTAGAGTTGTAATGGGCTGTCAAGTCTGTCCCCACTCACAGCAACCCACGTGACGGTAGAATCGCCCACAGGGTTTCCTAGGCTGGGATGGTCATGGGAGCGGTTGCTGGTCTTTACTCTTGCAGAGCTGCTGAGTGGGTTTGAACCACCCACCTCCCAGCCGTACAGCTACAAGCGTTCTTCATTATTTTCCTCCTGAGAAGATACAGCACAGATACTGATCTTGGGTTAAGATCCTGAGTTTTGCTCTTAAGGCTCGGGTCAGTGTCCCTGCTGGGCTGAGGGGATGTTGAGGGGTTCCATTCTCTTTTCCCCTCCCCCAGCTTCCCTGTGCATCTGAAGGCAGCCCCAGTGCTGTGTCTTTTTTTGTCTTTTTTTATTTTTTATTGTGATCTGGGTGCATATTGACAAAGCAGATTCATTTTACTCTAAACAGTTCATACACGTTTGGTTTCATGGCACTGCTGACAACTGTCTCAGCAATAACAGCCCCCCCATCTCGCCTGTGACAGCCCCTTTCCTGTGCCCTTATCTGTGCCTTCCTGTCTGCCCAGCTTTCCCCCTGTGCAGACAACTGCCCTTCTGGTCCCTCACAGTTGATGGGTCTAAGGGGTGCAGCTCCCTGGGGCAGGGCTTCTGCTTATAGGCCTTTCCACGGTGGCTGAGAGCCAGTGCTCAGACGTGAGTCCAGTTCCAGGCCTGAAGGATGACCCAGGAGGTTTCTCCAGTCTGTCCGACCAGTAAATGGTCATTTTTCAATTTCTGAGTTTTGTTCCACGTTTTTCCTCCCACTCTGTCCAGAATCTCCAATTTCCATCCCTTTCCAAGTGGTTGGCATTGGTAGCCGGGCATCAGGTCTCGGTCGGGAATGCTGAGGTTCTGGTAGTCCATCATACCCTTGGGCTGTTTCCATATGACTTTGATTTTCTTCACTCTTCTTTGCTCTGGGCAAGGAGAGACCAATAATTGCATCGTAGATGACTGCTCAAAAGCTTTTAAAGCCCCCTTTCACTACGCACCAAAGTAGAGTGTAGAACAAGATTTTTATGTACTGTGCCGTGCCATGTGAGCTTGACCAAGACCACGGACCCCAGGGCTGTGCTTTGAAGTTCTCATCTCTGTGTCATCCTCGGCTGACCCCTACCCCCAAGAGCCCGGACTCCAGCCTCCGCAGGGCAGTCTGTCAGGATCTGTGCCATAGTCGGGTCGGACGGGGCTGCAGAAGTTCTTTTAGAACCGACTCTCCTTTTGTCCTTACCTTTCTTGGACAGTGTCACTCGGTCACTGGCCTTGCTCATTGCCTGTCCATCCCCTGCTGCTCTCTGAAGTTCTGGCGTGGGTGGGGGTCCACAGTCTGACCCAACCCACACCCACTGCCGTGGAGTTGATCTCGACTCAGCGCCCCTGGAGGACAGAGTGGAACTGCCTCACAGGGTCTCCAAGGCTGTCAATGTAGAAGCAGACTGACTCATCTTTCTCTCAGAGCAACTAACGTGTTAGAACCACAGACCTTTTGGTTTACAACAGAGCACTTAACCAGTGCACCACCAGGGTTCCACACAGTAGAGATGCGGACGCAACTCCATCCCAATGGCACCTTTCCATTGTAAAATTGCCTGCCATCTCCCTCAGGTTCTCTCTAGAACCTTCTTCCAGTGCCCTGCCCATGCCCTGAACAGTACTGGCCGTTGTCAGCCAGTGAGGCCGTGACTCATGGGATGTGCAGCTGTGTTCAGTGTTAGAGCACATGTTTACACAAGGAGACAGACCGGGCAGGGGCGAGGTCTTGGCTCACGCCCTTCACACAGCATCACTGGATACTAAACAGGCTGTGTGCCCTGGGAGACACGGGGCCGAGAGAGAGCTGTCCTGCCGTCGGCCAGAGAAGAGGCACTCGCCTCCGATGGGAGCAGGCGAGGGGTTAGGCTGGGGCCCCTGCTCGGCAGGCGCTTGTCTGCTGCACAGTGTCACAGAGCCCAGAAGCCGCTTGGCCCTTCGCGCGGCGTAGGAGAGGAGACAAGGTCTCAAGGCTCAACGAGTGAGGATGCACTTGGTTTCACCGGTCTTTTCCTGTTACTCTGGCTTGTGTCCCTGCTACTGTCAGCAGACTTTGGACCTGTAAGAGTCACCTCCCGGTATTGACAGAGAAGATGCTGAATTCAGTCTACTTTGCAAACATGCCTGAGGGCTGCTGTGTGACTCTTGTCTGTCTGTCTGTTGGATGATATTCTTGGTCTGAAGAAACAGAGGCTAAAAGCTGACCTTTAGTTACCAGGTGGTAATGCCGAAGGATTATGTGGGGGAGATGCAAAGCGCTGACCCAAAGGCTGGTGGTTCGAGTCCATCCCGGGGCACCTCGGTACAAAGATCTGGTCTGAAAAACCAGTCGCTGAAAACCCTGTGGAGGCCAGGTCTGCTCTGATGCTCATGGGGGCACCATGAGTTGGAATTGACAGAAACTGGTTTTGACCAGAAGGTTGACGGTTCAAATCCACCAACCACTCTGCAGAAGGAAGGCTGGGCAATGTACTTGCATAAAGATTTACCACCTCAGAAACCCAAAGGGGTTCACCATGAGTCAGAATTGATTCAATGGCAGTGAGTTTGGTTTGGGGTTTGGTTTTTGAAGAACGCCAAGCATCAGATTGAAAAGACACAATTTGGCCGAGTTTTCTGACTTTGACCTTTGTCGGTTCTGTTTAGGAAACACAGTCAGACCTCAGAAGGCTGGACATACCCATGGCCACTCTGCCTCCGGCTTTTTCCTCTTAGACATTGCTTGATGTATTATCTCCTGTCCAGTTTTACATTAAATCAAGTGAGAATTCTTGGTTTCTCCATTTGAAATGAAACCCTGCCTGGCTTGGCTCCCTTCGTCCCCTGCGGACAACCTGAGGTGACAGCCGTGAGGGCAGCACGGTCCCCAACCCACAGCGGCCCTGGTCCCTAGCCAGGTCTTTCCTCCGGGAAGCTGGAGCCATGCCCTCACCCCTTGCCTTCTGGGGTGGCAGGGCTCTGCCTGTTCACTGTCATCACTGTGGCAATGCTCATTTTTAATCCCACTGAACGTCATTAATTACCCAGAAAAGCAGAGAATTCCAAACAGCGCATTACTGTTTGCAGCCTTGGAAAGCTTGACACTTGGAGGTCTAGGGAAATATCCAAAGATAGAAAAAATATGTGTTGGTTCTAATGTGCATTTTTTTTTTTTTGGAAGACACTTACTGCTGCAGAAGAGATGGAAACCAGATTTAGCTTTAAAATTTATTGGTGTTCCGAAGCAAAGAGAATAAATTGGGAACTGCCTGCATCCTGACAACACCAATGGGAAGTATCCAACCTGTTGGATTCAACAGGAGATGTGGGAGTGGGAGCATCTAGGGGAGGCCCGTGGTGGACGCTACAGTGATGTGTCCCTGGCCACACGGATCTGCCCTGCCCGAGCACCACCTGGAGCAGAGCACGGCTCCACACGTGTGAGCCACCAGTGTGATCATTTGTACAAGTTAAAGAAAAT